TTGTCATTGCTTTCCTCCCAAAAAGCAGGCGTCTTTTAATTTCATGGCTGCTGTCTCCATCTGCAGTGATCATGCAGCCCAAGAAAGTGCAATTTGTCACTGCCTCCATATCTTCCCCTTCTATTTCCCCAGAGGTGATGGAACCAGTGGCCGTGATCTTAGTTTTTTTGATGTTGAGCTTCAGACCGGTTTTTGCACTCTCCTCTTTCACCCTCATTACAAGGTTCCTTAATTCCTCCTCACTTTCTGCCATCAGAGTGGTATCGCTGCATATCAGAGGTTGTTGATATTTCTTCCGGCAATCTTAATTCCATCTTGGGATTCCTCCAGTCGGGCCTTTCGCATGATGTATTCTGCATATAAGTTAAATAAGCAGGGGGACAATATACAGCCTTGTCGTACTCCTTTCCTAATTTTGAACCAATCAGTGTTTCCATACCCAGTTCTAACTGTTGCTTCCTGTCCCACATATAGGTTTCTGAGGAGGTAGATAAGGTGATCAGGCAGTTCCATTTCTTTAAGGACTTGCTATAGTTTGTTGTGGTCCACACAGTCAAAGGCTTTTACATAGTCAATGAAGCAGAAGTAGATGTTTTTCTGGAACTCTCTGGCGTTCTCCATAATCTAGCGCATTTTAGCAATTTGATCTCTAGTTCCTCTGCCCCTTCGAAATCTAGCTTGTACTTCTGGGAGTTCTCGGTCCACATACTGCTGAAGCCTGCCTTACAAAATAAGTCATGCTAAAAGCAGGATATGCAGGTAAGGAAAAGCATGTGCTCAGCATTTGAACAGACATCTCTCCTTAACAAATGTCAAATTTATCATCTAGTTTCACCGTGAGTTGGAAGACAAGGAGATGCCCTTTTCAAGACATTCTCCTCCCCAGCATTTTCCAGTGATCTCTAATCTTCTTCATCAGCACCAAAGCACTTCTGGAATTTAAGTGACTACAGGAAATGTGGGAGGATGGTAGACAATATAGCTAGGAGGGGAATGGGTGGGAGAAAATGACTCATCTCACAGTTCAGCAGCAGATTAAAGGTAAAGCACTCACGCATTTGCACCCTAGTTTGTAGTGCCTGGAGATGGAGAGGTGCAAACTGTTTGGGGATCTTCCTCATTGTCTGGACATCCCACATCATTTCACATTTTCTGAAGAAATTGTGGCAACATGTAAGGCTAGAGATTTGAAACAAAATTTCTTGAAGAGAGCCTTTATTTAAAAAAAAAGAGAGAGAGAGAGGGAGGCAGGATTGCTTAGTGTTTCTGTCTTAAAAGGAGTAATTTTGTTGTAGCTTTATGCATTTGTATTTAGGAAAAACTGTCCTTTCTCACTAACAGTGTGTGGATGCGTACGGAATTTCTGATAGCACTGAGTTCTCTGACTTCTTGGGGAACTCATTGCTTAGGCTTGGCTCCTGCACACACCATCGCTACTCTGCTGAAGTCCTGGTACCAGGACTCCCCACCAGGAGAAATAATCTCTCTAGGAGTAATTGGTGAAGGTAAATATTGTCTTTTGTTCAAATAATCCTCAAGTGCTTCTCTATCACACTGCTCTATTTATATGAGAAACCATAGAAAATATGTATCTAAATGAAAATATTAGGACTAGAGATGGGGGCATTCCTATACGAATTCAAATATCCCCCCCTGCAGGTGCAGATAACGAGGGTCTGGCCCCCTGGGGCTGGATGTTCCATTCACGATTCCGCTGCTGCCGCAGCCTCTGTTCTCCCTTCCTATCGCTCCGTTGCTCACGATGGATTAGCCAGTCCTGGCAGAAGGTGGGATGACCAGTCTCTCTGCAAGGTCCAAGAGTGGCTAACCCATCACAAGCAATTGAGCAATAGGAAGGGATTCTGGAGCCTGCAGCAGCTACAGACAGGTGAGTGGTCAGTCTGGCCCCAGAAGGTCCAAGAGTGGCTAATCCATCACAAGCAATGGAGCAATAGGAAGGGATCCTAGAGCCTGCAGCAGCTGTGGACAGGTGCGTGGTCAGTCTGGCCCCAGAGGGCCAGACCCTCATTATCTGCACCTGTAGGGGGATATTTGTATACGAATACCCCCATATAGGCTTGTGGATGGATGGATCATGAAGGTAGTCTTTGTGAGCTCTTGTATGATTTAAGACTGATGGAACTCCTGGATCTTGCTGTGTTAGTAATCTGTGTGTTGGATCCAGATACGGGGCTTGATTAGATGGCCAAATTGGAGTGGGCTGGATCAAGCTAAAGAGAGTTACTTAATTTCAGTTAAGGTGGGGCATGGCTGTAGTACAATCCTTGTATCTGCATGCAAGGAATCAGGAGCTTCAGTCTTGATAGACTTCCCATGGAGAGAAAGCTCTTCTGGTTGTATCAATCCTTGCTCGTGGTTACTGAAATTGCTACAGTTCAATCTCATCTCCCCTCCTCAACAAGCCAAACAGTATTTGTTCTCCACCTTTCAGACCTCCACTTAGCTTCCAAATTAATTGGGGAGGGTATACTTTTACTGCCACTGATAATGCTGAGAGTATTATCAAATTACTGAGTGCCACTTCAGTAACTGAACTGACAAAATGGATGGACATGATCCAGGTTCTTGTCATTCCAGTTTTAATGGTAAATGGTAAAGGTGTGAGACCATGTGTGTTATCTGTGATGGAAGGAACATTTTGCAGATTACCATTTCTGTTCCTTAGGCCAATTTGGGCTTCCTGAAGGAATTGTCTATTCCATGCCTGTAAAATTCAAAAATGGCAACTGGATTGTCTGTACAGAACTAGAGATTAGTGAGAAGAATCAAGAGTATCTTCAGATACTAGCCTGGGACCTAATTCGGGTAATATGCTGCATTCATTCCAGTAGTATGTGAAACATGTGGTGAATCTCTTTCAACTAAAGGCCAAATTGGCTTTGAACAAACATTTAGGGTCACATGGCAATAGTAGGCAGGAGCACAATAATGTATCATTAATAGCTATATTCCAAACTTCTTTATACCATTCATTTGATTGAAAATCATGCTTTACTTTTGAATTCCTTGCTACCATTAATCTTGGTGCTGTTAAAGAATTTGAATTCTTTTACTTTCCAGCTTCATTGCACCTTATCAAATATTGATAAAAGAGCTACTGTATTTTAGGGCAAACCTCTACCTTAATCCTTTTGTTTGCTTCCTTAAAAACCAACCATCAAAATTTCATTATATTCTCACATTCCCACCACATATGAAAATAAGTACCTATTTTCTGACATCCTCTCCAACATAAATTAGAGTAATTATCTATTTGATTTAATCTCACCAGAGTTAAATACCTTCTCCAAACTAATTTATAATTTTTTCCTTTATTCTTACATAGATTTTAATGTTCTTTTATCCCATATAGTCTTCCAGACCTGAGTACCTTTTTACTCTCCCAAATAATGTTCCCATAATGTTTTAAGATAATATTATTGGTTCTCTGCTGTTGTTGATATCTTGTAAATACTGCTTATTATCCCTTTCATTGTCTTATTTTCATCTACCTTTTCCTTTTCTAATGCCTTCTCTTCAAATCTCATAAAATCCAGTCTTTAGTCCACTGCTCTAACTGAATAAGATTAAACCAATATATTCTTTCCATTCCTGAGATCTATTATTTTTCTTTATTCCCCATCTTTTCTAACTAATTTTTATTACAGTAACTTTTTTTTCTTAATAGAGTAACTATATTTCTCCAGTTATACCACTGGATGTAATGGAGAAGTTGATGGAACATTTTTTTAAATATTTGTTCCAAATTAACAACATATTTTTAAGAAAAGAGTTTTCAGTATTTTTTACAATGCTTTTATTTTGTTTAAAGAAAATATTCTTGGGAGTCTCACCAATTTCCTGAGATTCCAAGCTTAACCATATTAAATTATTAAACTGAGACATATTTTCTTGAGCACTTTACTTCCAAACCAACAGGTTTGGAAGTAAGCTATAAACATTATGCAAAGGAAGCAGACTAATATATTCAGGCAAAGGTTATAATGAGTTATGTTAATTGAAGTTAATTTATTGGAATGCAATTTCTATACAGTATATAAAATGTGTTATCACCTATAATGTGGAAAATATTTTTCCCCATGCAGGAAAAGCAAGTTGCATTAGGTGAAGTGAAAGAATTGTACCCACAGAGGCGAGGTAAAAATAAGCAGAATAACAAGAGTACTTTTTGTAACAACTAATACAAGGAGAATCTGAGGATCAGATTTCAAAGCTTATATTCTTGGGGCTAGATTTCAAAACTGAACAAAAGCTGTAAATATATAATCTTTGGGTTTTAGCTGCAGCTAAATGAACTGTAACCATCTTATGTAGTGCTAGACTCTTGGAATCCTTGGTTACTTGAGGGTTAATAATACAATGTGAATTTCATTTGTAATTCTGTCAGCGAAAATGCATAAAAAGGACAACAATGTGGCACAAAACCATTTGTTATCAAGATACAGATGTTTGGCCATAAGAACTGTACTTTAGCATTGTTTCAATCAATGTAAAAGTTGCTGGGCAGATGACACATGTGTAAAACCAATTTATTTGGCTATGAAAGTTGAGTTTTTGTCACGCAGCTGGTAAAGGCTTTTTAAAATAACTTGATCCCTAAATTGCTTCAGTCCCATTTGTTTTGTGTATGTAAATGCTCCTGTAAGTTTCATAAGTGTTTTAAGAGGTAGTAAGGAGTCTATAGCTGCAATCCTGGCCCTAAGAGGAAAGCCAGACCCTGCAAGTATAGTCAAGTGGGGGAAGGATCGGAAAGCTGTTCCTCATATGAAGAAGGGAAATGCCTCCGCCAGCAATCAGAGTGCCTGGGGGCTCAATACCATAAAGTGTTCAGGTTTATCTAGTCTAAATGCTCTCACTTGAACATCTAAAGGTACAGGGATCCTCTCCCTTGGCAAAGTTGCACTTCATATCCACCAAAGCATCAGTCAGGAAGCCATGAGGTAGATACCCTTAAATGGCCTTCTTTCTTCCTGTTCGGCATGCTAAAATTGTATCTGTTGCCTTGTACTGGCTACCTTTTTTTTAAAAAAAAATTCCCAAGGGAGATGTCAATAGTTCAACAGGACAGAGAAATTTAACAGCCAGAGGAAAGCACTCCTTCCTCCTTGGAAAATTAAAAAGCTCAGAATATTGTGAATTTCTCAGTTCAGTTTCACTTTGGGAAGGAGGAGGAAGAGTCTTGTCATTTTCTCTCTCTGCTGGCTTGTACATTTCCATGATTGTATCAGATTATCAATATCCCCCTTGGATTTTTTTTTTAGATAAGGCAGCCAGCATGAGGTAGGTGGGTACAGGACAAAGCCTAACCCCCTAAGTGTAGTTTCTCAACAAATGTGACTGTGAGTAGCACTTTATATACCACACAAATTTACATTGATGTAAACAGAGTTGGAAATGACTCGGATCAAATTGGCAGTGTGACCGCAACCGGAGCTTCACAACCAAAAAGACCCAGTGACGCTTATGTCATGAGTCATGACTGAAAGAGACTGCGACGTTTTTCTCAAACAACCATGCCAACCCACCTCTAAGTCATATAGCAAACTGCTTTTAGAAGTGAAGGGAGTTCTGACAGGGAAGATGTCAAAACTACTCACAATCACATTTGTTGAGAAACTACACTTAGGGGGTTAGGCTTTGTTCTGTACCTACATACCTCATGCTGGCTGCCTTATCTTAAAAAAATTCCAAGGGTGATATTGATAATCTGATACAATCAGTGAACCAGCAGGATATTCCTTGTATCCCACCCATTGATTCCCATTGTTTTGTAGTTTCAAGGCACCAACATTGAGAACATTATCAGATGTATCAAGCACTGGGCACAGGACAGTGCAAGATAGGAAGAGCTAAATGCAGTCCCATGTTGTACAGGCCTGTTTTCTAGTTCAAGACTTTAAAAAAGTCTCCTCAGAAGAAAGGCCCATTGAGGTCAGTGTGATATACCCCCAAGGCAGAAGGATACAGGATTGCAACCTTAAATTAAATCATAATTATGCAATTTTACAATGTTAAAATACTTGACTACATCTCTTAATGGGCTGCAGTTTCATTTTGGATTATTTTAAAAAGATATTTCAAATAGGCTTTTTTAGACCTCAAACCCCTACTATTATCATACTTCACTTCGGCCTAGTTCTCCATTTTTATTAAGAGTTTGTAGTTAAATGAAAGAATGTACTTTCTTTCAGAACTTCGTAAGATATATACTGATATTACGGAAGAAGAAGAAGAAATCATTGAACCCCAAGATGGTAAGAAAATAAAAATAAAAATGTTAAGTGTATAATACTTGTGGTGAAAACATTACCATACCATCTTCCTGACTTCTCCAGGGTAAAATAATATAAACAGCAGTGTGTACTGGTGTTAAGATGTGCTAGCATAATGTGCTAGACGAGTGTTCAAATGGACTTCCAATTCCTTTAAAAATATACAACTCAAGTGTTGGTAGATATTAAGGTAATTGAAGCAATTCAAATTTTTATAGCTCATCGGGTGAGCAAAGTATAACACTCCCCATTGGATAATGACAGGAGTTGCAGCCCTGCAGCATCTGGGAAAGCTGTACTTTGCCCACTCCTGAAATAAATGGAACTATGGGTGAATTAGCTTCCTCCTCCTGCATAATGGACAAATATTGAACTTTATACAGAATATTTCCAGGGATGGGGACTCACGAGTCACAACTCTCTGTTAAGCCTGACTTAAGTCACACCAGTGACTCACTGTTTTTTTTTTTTAAAAAAACTCACGACTCAGAATCATTTTTCCAAGTCATGTATTGAGTCCCTATTGACTGCCGAAGAATTGATGCCTTTGAATTGTGGTGCTGGAGGAAACTCTTGAGAGTCCCCTGGACTGCAAGGAGAACAAACCTATCAATTCTAAAGGAAATCAAACCTGAGTGCTCACTGAAAGGACAGATCCTAAAGCTCAGGCTCCAATACTTTGGCCATCTCATGAGAAGAGAGGACTCCCTGGAAAAGACCTTAATGTTGGGAAAGTATGAAGGCAAGAGGAGAAGGGGACGACAGAGGATGAGATGGTTGGACAGTGTCACCGAAGCAACCAATATGAATCTGACCCAACTCCGGGAGGCAGTGGAAGATATGAGGGCCTGGTGTGCTCTGGTCCATGGGGTCACAAAGAGTCGGACATGACTAAACGACTAAACAAACGAACGAACGAAGGGATGGGCCTCCCTACCTGCCACTGCCACTGCTGTCACCATCATCCTCAGAGGCAGCAGGCCTTGCTTCCCTTCCAGGAGCTGACAGCTGCCTCCTCCCATGAAATCATGAGGGATTTGGGATGGGTTAGAACTACCTCTCTCATTTAAAAAATATCTGGAGTCTTCAGACTTTTACTGACCCTCTGAAACCTGGCGTTGAGTTGTGATGTATATTGCAGCCACAAGAAATATCAGAGCTGCTATTTCACATACAAGTTCAATATCTGTTCTCATTAACATCTCCAGAATTGGCATCATAAAATATAGTCTAGGTTAAATTTTAGTTACAGGTACCACACCTGTACCCTAGCTTTATGAACCACAGCTGGACCATAAAGAAAGCTGACTGCCGAAGAATTGATACTTTTGAATTGTGGTGCTGGAGGAGGCTCTTGAGAGGCCCCTTGACTACAAGGAGAACAAACCTATCCATTTTGAAGGAAATCAACACTGAGTGCTCACTGGAAGGACAGATCCTGAAGCTGAGGCTCCAATACTTTGGCCATCTCATGAGAAGAGAAGACTCCTTGGAAAAGACCTTGATGTTGGGAAAGTGTAAAGGCAAGAAGGAGATGACAGAGGACGAGATGGTTGGAAAGTGTCATCGAAGCTACCAACATGAATCTGACACAACTTCGGGAGGCAATGGAAGATAGGAGAGCCTGACGTGCTCTGGTCCATGGGGTCACGAAGAGTCGGACATGACTAAACGACTAAACAACAACGACCACACCTAGCTGGCAAGCAGATCACAGCACAAAATATCTGTTTTTTTGTAAACTGCTGCAAGTAGTTTAGCAAGCACCCAATGTGGTATATTGATAATTGATCCATACTGAATCCTGCACATGTCATTGACGTTCATACGGCAGACTTAGTGTGTATGTAGCACATGTAGCTCGAAGTGTGTGTAGTAGTGAGAGACTGATAAAAGTAAAGCAGTCATCAGATGGTGCTTTATCTCACCTTGTGGACCAATTTTGATATGGACAGTTTCATTCCACTTTATGGCAACCACATGATGTTCTGGCAATTGCACACCAGTTTGATCCTTATCCATGCCTACCTGCACCTTTTTGGGTCCCTAGAAAGGATTACTTTTTTTAGCATGTGTTTTTGTTTTCAGCATTATTGATCACCAGAATCAAATCAAAGTGGATCCCCCATGTCAGTAATATGCCACTGATCAATTTAAAAAGTTGAGCTTTCTCCTGGTCCCCCATGGAGGATGACACTGTTGTTCTCTTAAAAGACTGTTGGATGGGTTGTTGTTCTCTTAAAATTCCAGTACTACGTCACTTGATGGCAGGTCAATTGACCAGCATTTCACTTACCAATAGAAAAATATTTTTCCCAGCTTTCCCCTGGCCCACCGTGGGATGTGAATTGGACTCCCCCTTAAACTCCAGTTCTGTTTCACTTGATAGGAAGGAGATTCCCTTGCATGCCTCTCTCCTATAAGTTTTTTTTTAGCTGTAACCTTCTCCTTCCAATGGAGGGGAACACTGGAGAGGATGTTGTAGCTAAAAAGGTTGCTTTGAGGTGCAGAATGATTTCCTGTCCCAAAACCACCTGATCCTTGTTTGATTGTAAAGATCACCTCAAATGGCATACTGTGCCTCAAAGCAACACTATTCAGCTAATTCCAGATTGGGGTGACTGGACTGTCTAGTCACACATGAAGTCCTGAAGTTAACTTCATGCAGTGCTGTCAGAGTGCCTGAGAGAATTTTAAGTGACAAAGAGAGAGAATTTTAAGTGACTGTGGGACTCAGCTGATGTTAAGTAGAGAAACTATTTCTTGTGAAATGGGCAGGTTTATAATATCAGATAAAGAATATGGCAAATTCTCCTTTGTGTCATTGCAGGAGTTGGTATCTTATGCTTAACAGACAAGGTCGGGAACTGCTATAGGCTGCCCTTAAAAATCTCTCACAGTTTTGCTGTACAGAGACAGAGACAGAGACAAGGAAACAGACATAGATTGCTATTTCCCTCCCAGGGCTGGCATTTTTTTTCTGTTCATTTATGACCCCTTGAACTGTTGCATTGATAAGAACTCATTGGACTGGTCTTTTCTTTAATGTGGTCCTTTTCAGATATCAGACTTTCATCAAGTGGCCAGATCTTAGCATTAGAAAGTGAAGACCAGGCTGCTGCTGAAGGTAACTTTCACAGGATTTTGTGTGGAGGTTTTTTAGTCATATATTTTAGAAACCAAAATCAACTTGGGCACATTGCAAACCACCTTGGCAAAATGGGCAGACAGAATGAAACAACTCAGTCCTTTTTCTCTGCTCCAATTTATTCTCCTTAAGCTGCTTATTTTATTGCCAATGATTAACAGCTAGTGAGAAGAGCTCTCTATACAATAAAACCAGTATCTCATGTTGTAACTATAGCTGAGTTTATGAACTGATCACATATAAAAGAATTACATTTTTAGTAAGGTGAGTTATGAAAGTTTTGCTACATTCCTGTATCTCTGCAAGTCCCTACTTGTTTGGGATATAAACAAGTGATAAATATTCATGCATGGACTAACTCTGAGACAGAGAAATTATTTTGCCCATGTCAATTCAAGAAATGTAAAGATAAATGTAAAGTTGGGGTGCTGGCAACAGAACTCCAGTCTTTTCCATGTTTCTGTTTAATGGCCAGCATTACATTTTTCAGCCTGATCCATTTATGTGTTGGCCATAATTTCTGCATGATTATAGCAAGAAAAAACAACAGAGATAGCCTGTAGAACTGGAAACAGAGTTGCAGAGAACTGACTGAAGCCACCTTTTTGGATTTGTGAAATCAGATTTCAGAGGAATCCCAGTCTTAAATCTTAAAGACCAATCACCAAATAAAGAAACAGTCCTGGAAGAAAGAGGAACTCCAGTTGTAACGCTCAGAGGCTTGTAGTAGTTGAGGATTTTCCTTTTCTAGTCACATGTTTTTTCTATTTCTGATTCTAGCCTCAGTGTACAGTTATAATTTCTTTTTATGACAGAGACTGAAGAATCAAAGAGTCTAGAAGATGAAAATTTTGATGAACTCACTGATGAAAAATTTGAAGAACCTGCAGATGGTAGGCCAAAGAAGCTAATTAAAACCCTTGTTAAAAAAACTAATACAGTACTTTGGTGTGTTAATGAATAGCATATACTCATATTTGCTTTGGCTTCTGACTTCCACTAACTCTGATTGATAGGAAATCATTGGCAGTAAGGTGTTCCTTTAGTCATAGTACAATTTAGTACCTGAAATGTTTGGAGTTTTCAAATAAAACAGACTTTTCAGCTAGATTCTAGAAGTTGTCATTCCCTGACGTATAGACTAAAATGCTAAGGGGACCGCCATCCCAAGGGTTCCCCAGGTCAAAAAGATCTGGGGAAGGAGACAGGGAACTAGGGGAAGGCGACAGGGAACTATAAATTAAAGAGTAATGTTTTTGGATGATGTTACTAATCAGAATTTTAGCCAGTATGTATATTTTTGCAAGAAAATATAATATAAATTCTGTTTACCAAAAATCTTTTTATAAAAAGATAGTGTTTGTCATTTTTCCAAGTAATTCATTTGACAGTATGACCAATTAAACATAGCCAGAAGGAAATGAAACATCACCTCTAATTTTTTATCCTGATTATTTCAGGATTTAATCTTCATTCCCTCTGCCTCAGCTTTGTTCATTTCTTAATGCTGTTCTGATCAGAGTTATATTACTTTTGCAGTTTGTATAATGAAGGTCCTTTCTTTCTGTGTTTTGAGCCTCGTCCAACTTTGTGCAACAATCTGGTTAGGTTATAGCTAAACTGAAGTTCCACTAGGGTTGCTTGGGTAGAAAGTGTGAAAGAGACATGGACCCATATGATTTGTTATATCTTCTGAATGCACATCGATGGTGTATTTCAAGAAAAAAGTCTCGCATTTATGTGTTGTATATTTTTCATTGCAGACATTAAAGAGAGCCTGAACACTGGGCAACTTTGATACTCCAAATGTGTTTTGTCCCACTGCTCCCATGATCCCCAGCCACTGTAGCCAATGATGAAGGACAATGGGAGTTTTTAGTCCAAAATCTTCTTGGGCATTCTTGCACTGAAATAATATATATGTAAATACAGCATAAATGGAGTAGCAGCCTTTTACTCATGGCTGCATTAGCATCCTAAGTACTGGCATAGTGGTGAACTCTGAGAATAATGCTCTTAGTTTTTCTTCTCTATCAACAGGATTTGAACTTCCTTGTACAGCAAATTTTGCATTCTGTCAAAAATGTATCTGTAAAAAGTTATAAGCATTTGGATAACCAGCTAACTAGATATTATTCTACGACTGATGTAGATGTCAAATGAATCCCAGATTTGACATAGATTATTCTATGACTAAGAACAACTGAAAGCTGACCTATGTTTATTTATTTTTCTTCTGCAGGTCTTGAAATTTGAGCTGATGACTTCCTTTAAGCAGAAGTGAATTTGAGCAACAGAGAAGGAAGTTCAGTATTCTATGACTGATGTAGATGTCAAATAAATCCCAGATTTGACGTAGATTATTCTATGACTAAGAACAACTGAAAGCTGACCTATGTTTATTTATTTTTCTTCTGCAGGTCTTGAAATTTGAGCTGATGACTTCCTTTAAGCAGAAGTGAATTTGAGCAACAGAGAAGGAAGTTCAGATTTAATTACTGATCATTTCAGTAATAGCTGTGAGAATTCCTGAATGTGGTCGATGTCCTTTTTTTAGTAATTCAGCAGCAAAAGATTTGATTGTGGAGAATGGCAGTTTTTCCTGTTTCTTACTTTTTCTAGCTATATAAAAACATAAGCATGTGTCTTTCCTGTTTGATGCATGGTACGCTAGATATGTCTTGATCAATCTGAGCTGGAGTATTTGGCTTAACACCAGTTTGGCTTCATTTCAGTGCAGTGACAACCATTGTAGAATTAATGTACCAGACTGGAAAATGCATAAGGAATTTAAAATATTGAAGTATGACATTTGCAGAAAGGAAAGTTCAAGACAACTACCTCAGTTTGGACAGCGCTTTCTGTTGTCTCCTCTATATACTTGCATTCTTACTATGCTCCCTTTTCTTCTTGTTGTACATAGGGAAAGCAAGATTGTAGTCTCTGTAATATGTTTTACATTGAGAACAGTTTGAATGTCTTAAATCTGTTCAATGCACCTTCTGTTCTGTCTCCAGACTTTCCCGTTATTGCTTCATTTCCACAGCCGCACACCTTTTTGTTTTTGTTTCACTTAATAGCCACAAGGAAAAATAGGATGATGGACCAGTTGTCTCAGAAAAGAGTATAATGATAGTGACACATTTCCTGACAGCTTTGGACTGCAGACTGCTTTTCTTCATGCTGCACGTGCTGTTTCTTCTGATGCTTATGTCATTTTTGTTTGATAACTAGCCTGACAGAGAATTCTGGGATTATCCAAAACTTTTTAATCACGTTGTGGTATTTTAGTTAGCCTTAATAAAGACATCTTAACACCATGGCTTTTTGTCTTTTTTTCCCCATCAAAGAACAATCCAGGTACTACATTTTTTGAAATTTAATAGCGTCTATCTGTCTGTCAACAACCAAGACTGTTAAAAAAACAATAACAGTTGAATGTAATCATATGAGAAATAATTAATAGAAATTAATCCACTCAGATTTTGGGCAGTTGATTTTTACCAGATGATTGAACAGTCAGATAAATCTCCAACCAGATTAATCATCCATGTTGGTGCCAGATCAGAATACTGAGGATCAGAGATAAATAAAAAAGGTAATCAGCACAAAGGATAATTTTAAATTCTAGAGAACCATATATCCTCTCTTGGTGCTGATATCTTTGCTCTCTTGTCTTGTAAGCTTCCCAACATGGGGACCTCCAGGGGGTTTGGACTACAACTGCTAACAGCCTTTGGGGGCATCTGCATCAATCCATTAGGCATCCAGTAAGCGTTCCAAATTGGGGCCCTCCAGGGGGTTTGGACTACAACTGCTAACAGCTTTGGGGGCATCTGCACCGATTCATTAGGCATCAGATAAAATTGTGCTCTAAAATAACTAGAGAGCATTAGTTTAGGAACAGTTGATATAGACTCTGGTGAAGATTTATGGAAAACCCAGTCCAAATATATTTGGAGAGCCAAAATTCCCATCACTAGTGTAAACCACAGGTATATCGTGTTAAAAGACCCATAGTGAATTCTGAAATATTTGTGCATGTCTACTAGTTGTGGCAAACTATATGTGCATTTATATTCCATGCACATGCACTGAAACAGATGCAAGAAGAATGTTCAGACAAATGTAGACTCCATAAAAACACATTAGTCTGTAATGTGTAAAGGAAACGCAGCACAGGAAAGGTCAACTCCCATGGAATTTGTTTCAGACACAATTTGATTCTTATGCATAATTCCTCTCCTTGCATAGAGTGCCTTGTGTGAATGAAGAGCACACAGAACTTAATCCACAACAATTTCATGGTGCACAACACTTTAGGCTTATAATTCTTGAGCTTTGAGGCTTTTCTTACGGAGATAGAAACCAAATAGGATGTTCATCCCTGTAAGGCTTGAAGAATTAAAAATACACTTATAAAAATGGCTATGAATTCAGATCATTTAATCTACCTCTCACAGATCCTTGAGTTTATATTCTTCACATCCCTCTTTTGAAGTTACCGTATTTTTCGCTCCATAAGACGCACCTTTCCATAAGACGCACCAATTTTTTAGAAGAAAACAGGAAAATATAATCTGTTTTCTTCGCTCCATAAGACGCACAGACTTTCCACCCCCCTGTTTTGTGGGAAAAAAGTGCGTCTTATGGTGCGAAAAATACGGTAATTTTCCTACGTAGTAAAAAAGTTTGGAAACCGCCTGTAAAAAAGCTCTGGATAGTAGAATTCTGCTGTTCTTCAAGTCAAAGTCCATCATCGTATTCTGTTTGATAAATCATATTTTTGTCATGGGAGGACACTGTAGGTTTCCCCTTTTCCCCATGTCCATTGTTTTCCCTGGTATTGAGCACAGGAGAGGAGAATGAGTCCTAGGATATTAATTTCAATATCGTGATTAATTATGATAATGAAATTGGACATCAGACTTGGCAGGATTTTGATTCTGTAGCCACTACATACATACATACTTTATAGTTACGGCATCAAGCCATACAAAATTGAGTACAAAACTTCAAAGACTGGCATGCACTACAAAGAGCCATACCAGACATACAAAAGGTAAAATATCTAAAACAGCAAATATAGCAATGTAAGACCAAGGTCTAAGGGTTTAGCTGTCTATTCTGGCTGCGATAGCATGCCGCCCAAAATTTCGCTACCAGTTCTGTAGTAGTCCGATTTTGGTCGGTTAGCAATTGATTACAGTAGTCTGAATCCGATTGCCCTGCCATATCTTTTAAGAGAGGTGTAATATATTTTCCTCGAATCTTATTATGCCTGTTACATCTGAGCATCATATGCTCAATAGATTCTATCTTGTCAGAGCCACAAGGGCAGAATCTCTGTTCCCTCGGAATTTTCTTAAATCTGCCTTCCAACACCACAGAAGGGAAAGCCTCACATTTAGCCAGAGTAAAGGCTTTCCTAAACTTATATGTCTCAAGCTCTGATAGGTAGGCCATAGAGAGCAGACAATATTTATGCATGTCTATCGCTCTAAAATTGGGGCATCTACTGAGATCTACCTGTCTCTCCATATCCATTATTCTCCATTTAAGAGCTGATTTTGCTTCATCCCATTGCATGCTTAATATTGCTTGAGGAGAGAAGCCCATTACTTGCAATTTATTTAGGACAGCTTTTAACCACCTCACTTGAAAATTGTCCTCTAGGAGTAAATGAGTTAATCCTTGTAATTGAACGTTTATTTTAAGCCAGTACTGAAGGGAGGCTGCCATTGTTAGTGAGCCGGTCTCTAAATGAATTTGTGCATTCGTTACACATATTGGAACTTCAAATATTGCCCTAAGGAATTTAGACTGAACCCACTCTATCGGGTCAAAACTGCTGGGTGGAGGCCCCATAAAGGTGCCATAGAGTATCTGTCTGTATCCAGTAAAGGAGTGTGCAGGGCCCGCTGCATCATAAATCTCACATAGAGATGGGGGTGTTCATATACAAATACCTCCCACAGGTGGACATAATGAGGGTCCTGCCCTCTGTGGCCAGACTGTCCATTCACTATCCACTGCTGCCATGGGCTCCGCTCTCCCTCCTGTAGCTCTGGAGCTTGCAGTCTATTAGCCACTCCTGGCAGGAGGCGGGAGGACGAGCCTCTCTGTCAGGTTGAAGAGTGGCTGGCCAGCTGGGTGATCCAGAGTGATAGGAAGGGAGCCCGGAGCCCACGACAACAGCAGACAGTAATTGGACAGTCTTGCCCCAGGGGATCAGATCCTCATTATGTCCATTTGTGCGTGAGGGGGGGATGTTTGTATACGAATACCCCAATCTCTAACTCACACAATTATTAGGAAGTTTGCTCCATTTTAAATCACAGCTAGTATTAAATAGTCTGTTTAACATTTTGAATTGCAAAATGTCTAAAAATCATATTCCAAAGGCATGCACATATGTAAGACCTTTTACAAGATCAGCACTCTGCTGGGAAGGTTGCTCATTTTTATTGGAAATCTTGAAACCCCCAACGCTGTGAGCTGCAAAATAGTGCACTTCAGATCACCAGCCCCCTTTTAAAGTAGAGGCCACAAATTTGGACAAAGCAACTCATCATGTATCCTTCCTGTCTTAATGACAATTACTTCCACTCTTGCTTCTCTGTTTCCATAGTAGCATCACGTTTCTCAGCAACCAGGATGATTGGGTCTCATGTTCTTCTGAGGCAGAAAGTGAACCTGCGTGAAATGACCTTCAGAGACAAAGATCAAAGAAATTGTTTGTTTTTAGTTATTTAGAATATTGACTATTGATTACTCACACTTAAATTTTGTCACGGTTGTGTGGAAATGGTAATAATTAAAATGAAGCTCGACATGTTAGTGTCTTACCGGAAAGCAATAAACTAAACAACTATTTCAGGGTGAATACTTTCCCCCTTTGGGATGTTGTTTCCAATGAAGATATTTTCTGACTGTCCTGGTGCCTTCGGAGAGTTTTTTTTTTAACTTTTGGATATACAGGTAAGTTGTAAATGCGTGTTAAAAGAGGGAATAGAAAAGGTGATATTTTATTTTATTTTGCCATTTTCATTTTATATTTAAATTTATGGCTTTTGTTGGATGGGGGAAGAGGTCTGCCTAGCTTTTTAGCTGAATACCTTTGTGAAACCTGTTCTGCAATTGAAACACGTCTGGGAAAGAGATGTTAAATCAACGTCTACAGTGTCTGACGAAACTAAGTCTAAATTCACATATCTGGCATATTTATTCATTGTAAGCCTTGGTTTAATATGTAAATCACATATGGGCAGTTATTTTATGAAATGGGCAGATCCAATATCATCAGCACATAGATTTAAGGAATATATTTTCCTTTATTATGGTGAATAGTGAATTGAGCTGTTTGTATATTTGGCAACTACAGCCTGAAAGCCATAATTTTGTATCACACTTTGTTCTGTTGCAGGCATTCCATCATTGCTCTCTTGTCTCCACGTTTAAAAAGATGGATTTAGATCAACAAGGTAAATACTAAATGGGATCTAGTTTTCTTCAAATAAATGAACAAACAATCTTCAGTATTGCCTATTGTAAGTCATATTTCGATCTTTGTCGGAATGTTTGATTTTGTGAGGACAATGGGCACATCTGAAAGTGTTGCCATGGACATATATTGCCTCCTGTAATCACACACACATCCTGTGATCCACAAGCAAACTTCCTCTTTCTGTGGTGTACACAAGTATGTCTGTTGCTTGCTTGCTTGCTCTCTCATGCTCCATCCAATTGTGAACATAGTGTGACAATAAAGGTGTGCATATACAGTACATACACAGACAGAGATGTCCAAACAATTGCACCACAGGTCAGGAAAGCTATTGGTTTGGACTATACCTCCCAGAATCCCAGTGTTATCAATCGTCTCCTGCCATATTCACAGTGTATTTATTCTAATTGCTCTTTCTCCTTTCCCTTTAATCCCCTCCCACATCTGCTAATTGTCCCCCAGAGGAACAGTCTCATAATTCATAATACATAGGTGTAACATCATGTTCTATGGCAAACCACTCCTGAGGACTCTATACTTAGAAAACCCTGAAAGGGATAAGTCAAAATTGAATTGACAGCACTTGTTATCAATCAATCACCCCATTAGTGTGAGGGACTATTCTGGGGAGTTATCAAAATGTAGATAGAATAGAACAGAACAGAAATAACAGTAAATCAATTCATAAGAGTGATAAAAGAAACAATATCGGGTTGTTTTTGTTATGCCACTACTCAGTTGGAGCCTTTCCCTATGAAGAACCCTGCTTTTACATTCTTGGCTGTTCTTCAGTTGTACCTTGAAACTAATATATATACTGTATACTGTATATTTTAAAAGATGAAACCAGACATAATTTTAATTTGATTTTTCCTTTTTTTCCCACAGAGGTTCTCAATGCCATTGAGAATTCTGTCTACAGAACTGCCTTGAAGCTCTGTGCTGTGCAAAGTGTCTGTCAACGTAAGTAAGATTAGGCTATCTTTTTTATTATGTGGAAGGAATTGTATCAGTCTTTGCAGTGACCACGCCACACTGGAGGAGCTCAAGAGATTTACATAGTTCAACTCGTTACATTTATATCTAAATCAGGCTGAAAAACAAGGTTGCTTATAATAATAATAGCCTTCAAATTACAGAGCTGGAAGGGGCTCTATGGATCATCGAGTCCAGTCCCTGTCAAGGAGGCACAGATGGGGAACTGAACTTCCAACCTCTGGCTCTGCACCCTGAGGCTTAAGCCACTTGGGAGCATGACTGAAGAATGACTGGTTTCTTTCTGAATTACCAGTGCTCAGAAGTGAAAGATGATGTTTGTTTGTTTGTTTGTTTACTTATTTACTTAACTTATATGCCACCCACTCTACCCAAAGTTCTCTGGGCGGATTACAACAATTAAAATACAATAAAAGATAAAACAATTAAAATAGATACAGTGGTACCTCACAAAATGATGACCCCACAAAACGACGAATCCACATGAGGATGAGGTTTTGTGACCGCCATTGTGCTTCGCAAAACAGTGATTCCTATGGGGAAAATTCGCTGGACAATGTTTTGTTCCGTGCTTCCTCAGATGCTTTTCTCTCCTGGACCAATGCTTAGCAAGAGAATGATTCCACAGCTGATCGGCAGCTCCACAAAATGGCTACGTTTTATTCCATGCTTCCCCAGATGCTTTTTTCCCCTGGACAAGAGGACAATTCAATAGCTGATCGGCAGCTCCACAAAATGGCTTCCCTAGGGTGTTTTCTTTCGCAAGACAGCGATTTAAAATGGCTTCCATATGGGCGATCTTCGCTGGACGATGACTATTTTCCCCATTGGAACGCATTAAATGGATTTAAATGCATTCCAATGGGGAAAGGGGTTTCACATGACGACAATTGCGCTGAACAGCTATTTTCCCAGAACGGATTATCGTCGTCATGTGGGGCACCACTGTACCCTAAAAATTGTCATCAGGACCCACAGTTGATGTTATTTCAGTTTACGGGATTTGAATTGAGCCAGGGACTCAGGAATAAGGATATAAATCTGACAACCTTTCACTCTCTACAAGAAACAGAGGGAAGAAGAAAAAATCTGTTCTCTTCCCCTTCACAATAAGATTTCTCTGTGCAAGATTTTTTTTCTCTCTTGAGAAACTTCACAATAAATATTGTGGAATTTCTTAGACATTTCATGATAATTTTTTTCCTGGAAGCAATGCCAAGTGATACAGGGCTATTAAAATTACTGTTAAAAATACTGCAGCATATTTCCTGTGCAGGATTCACAAATTCACAAAATCTGAAGTTTCATTCATAGAATAGGCAAAAAAGGAGAAGAGATGAGCCCTGGATCTTGTTTTTCACAGGGAACTGGGGGACTTGTAGGGAGAGGAAGCCTCAAAGAGGGAGTCTGAGCCTGGCAGGACTTGAAAAAGTAGCAAGAATAAGACATGTTTAGAGCTGGTTCTCTAAGTCAGGCTTTAGAAGTGGATATCTGTCAGAAGTTGAACATGAAGCCAGTGCCAGGCTGAGAAATGGAACATGAAGATTCATTTGTTTGTTCATTCAAGGCATGTGTATGCAACCTTTCAGAGCAAAGCCCTACAAAGACATTGTACAAAAACTAGTTTTCATGATAATACAAATATATTTATCATACATTATTTTAACATACAAGATACAGTTTATTTCTGTTTTTAAAGTCCAGGGATATTCATCACCTCATATTCTAAGGCTTATCAGGAAGATCAGTTACATAGTAAGATACTGTATCTAAGTATGATGACATCATCACCCACAGTCTTTTATCTTTAATTAAAAGTTTCCTATTTGCACCCTGCTCAGGTTCCAAAGCTCCCTAGGAATTCCTTTTGACCTCAGGAAGACTGTGGGGTCCTCAGGACAGGACCGGGGGGGGGGCTTCTAATGTCCAAAAATCTCTGGGATTGGCAGTGGTGTGTCTTTTTGGGGGAGGGCATTAAAGTCTCCCCCCGTCCCAAGAATTCCAGCCACTGTGGGGAGTTTAATTGATTTTTGAAATCAAAGGCGTATCCTTTAATCCAAGATTTTCTCAGAGAAATTCTAGGTAGCAAATTCTACATCCTGTGGCATATGTGACAAGCAGTCTGTCTTTCATTCATGATCCCTGGGTAAAGTCCCTGATTCTTGCTGTTTCTTACATTGTGTCCAGCCTTCCCAGCTGATTAATAGTATCATCCCTCATCTGGTTGTACGAGTGTCCTTATACTGAATACAACCATTAGGCCATTTAAGTCTGGGGCTGGCAAATTTTACAGGACCGGGGGCCAAAATTTCACCCCCTCTGAGTACCCTGCATGAGCCGCAGCAGGTCCAAAATCGCCAGAAGTGTCTGTTTTTCTGAGGGGGGAAATGAACTGAGAATTGCACAGATGGGCTACTTCTGATTTTGATTCCTGGCTTTTTTGGAGTGGGAGGGGGCATAATTGGGGGCCCTCGACTTCCCCAAAGTCAAAGCAGCCACCCCTGGAGTTCTTCAGAAGTCAAAGTGGGCACTTTTAAAATTAAAAATAGTTTTTTGAGATTGATGGGCATGGTCATATCTCTGGTGGCCTAGGCCCCTGCAAAAATCCCTAGGGAGCCATGTACAGTCCACGGATCTCCCGTTGACCCTCTCTGACCTATGCCAATCTGCACCTTCAAAGGACAGCAGGTCTCCATGTCCACAATGCTATTTGAGAACCACTTTAAGAGTCCAAGAATGGTCTCCTGTGCCTCCTCTGTGTCTGGGACCATCTGTTCTGTTAGTGTAGCCAAACTACACTCCGCAGACCACCTCAGAAGCACCTTTACCTCAGAAGCGCCTTATTCTTGAAAAATTAACCCTTCAGGGCAAGCAGGGCATTCAAAGATGCCTTTTAAACTGTGTGGTCTAGGGTTTCCTGATTACTCCCAGTTCCAGTAATATTAAAGATGCATGTATCTACACTGCTAGCAGGTACCTGGTTGTTCTGAGTTTCGTATGTGACATAACATCTGAAGATCTGGTGTCTGAGTGGTAATCCTTGGTTTGTCCCAGCTCTGTTGTCCTGTATGTCCTCCATGTACCTGATATGGTATGGCAGGTATAGGTGGAGTCCTTAGGGGCACTGGAAAAGTAGTGTCTGCAAACATCCAGGCCCTGGCTGATACTTATCATGTGATACAAGAGCCCATCCTCACCTCAGGTGGTCCAAGCTGGGGCTGGCTGCTGGTTTCTCTAAACTGCAGGGCTCCGAGAGCATCAGGCAGACTGAGGCAGTTGACAGATGGTGGGAGATAGTAGCAGACTATTGGAGGAGAGCGCTGTGTGGCTTTGCCCTGCATAACTTCATCTACTGTATTTAGGTGTGCTGAAGCACCCTCTCCCATCAATAGCATTTGAAGATTCAGCTACCTGTCCAGATTGCTTATGTACACGGAGTGGGAAGGACGCCATTTTGTTCTTTGCCCAGGCAGCAGAATGTCGCAGACCAGACCTGACTAAAGAGTCGCTGCAGAGAACTCTAGACCTGGTGATGGCTATGTGAGGGCAGTGGTTGTTGAGGTAAATGTCTTACAGTAATTGTGGAAGTTACAAATCTGGCTTAAGCTGTGGGAGGCCTCTGAAGCCAGCAAGGGTCAAAATTGAAATAAGACGTTGTCTTTTGTTCACTGACAAGTGAACTTGCGGGATTTCGTCATGGATTTGTGGGCTTTCTTTTCCCACAGTGGATTTGACCGATACCTCCTCGATCCAGCACATCTTGCCAAAGCACCGTTGTCAGGCTGAGAAGTTGAACCTCCTCCCAGTGGACCGGCTCTTCAAGCTGCTGAAGGAGCTTTTTCAAAGAGCCAGGTTAGAGAAACCAGGACAAGTAGATCCGCGGGCCCCAGAGCTAACTTTGGGCCTCTTGACTGCAGCATATGACAGGTGAGGAAAAAACAAGACCATTTCCACCTCATGGTTTGTTTCACTACATGCATCCATGCATCTTCAAGTTCGATTTGTTGATTTGTATCAAAAAATCTACACTGCTAGCAGGTACTTGGTTGTTGCTTTACTGCAGGATTGGGCACATTCCACCTTCTGGTGTTGGCCACAAAATTTAGCATCTTAAGAATCAGTGTTTGAGTAGTTAAGAACCCAAATTCCTAGTTCTTATGATTTCTGGGACAGAGTTGAACAGGTGTGAGGCATACAACACAATATATTGGATTGGTAATGACCTTTTTCAGAACGGCAACTCTCAGATCTTCTGCAAAATGCAGGTAAATTAAAATGCTTTGAAACAGTTTTCTGTGTATTGCCATTCCTGACGTCCAATTTGTGTCCAGTATACAGTGGTGCCTCGCTTAACGAGCGCTTCGGTTAACGATGAATCCACATAGCGACGATTTTTTGCGATCGTTTTTGCAATCGCATTGCGATGTTTTAAATGGTAAAATATCGCTTTGCGATGATCAGTAAGCTGTTTCGCTTACCGATTTTCACATAGCGATGTTTTTAGAACAGCTGATCGGCGGTTCCAAAATGGCCACCAGGTAAATAAAATGGCCGCCTGCTGTGTTTTTGCCCAGATTCCTTGCTTACCAGGCAGTGAAAATGGCAGTCGTAAGGTGGGATTTTTGCATTAATGTGAGTTTTTTGCCCATAGGAACACATTAAACGGTTTTTAATGCATTCCTATAGGCTTTTATTCCCCGCATAGCGACGAATCCGTATAGCGACAATATTTGCTGCACTGATTATCATCGCTATGCGGGGCACCACTGTATTTTTTCTTCAGAGAATGTCCTTTGTAGAGTGCAGAGGGGCACTGTTGTCAAAAGATGGCATAAGTAACAAATCATTTCAAACCTGGACACTCTGCATGATGCTGAAATTTCCAGCTTTATTTCTTTTCTATCTAGCAGTGCCACCTCAGAAGTCCCACTAGAGATACTCATTACCATGTTGCTACTGCTTGTTATCTGTAGCCTGGGATGAATGCAGCCGCCATCATTGTTTACAGAACAATGCTTCCTGAGAATAGCCTGGGATGAATGCAGCAGCCATCATTGTTTACAGAACAATGCTTTCTGAGAGGGAAACTGTGTATCAACAGGAGTCTTAAAGGTCATTGCCAGGCTGTATATCAACAGGAGTCTTAAAGGTCTTTGCCAGGTGTAAAATGCTACACTATCAACAACATGTGACCAGAAAAAAACAGTCTTCTTGTTAACAATACAGTCTCTTCTGGCAGTTGGCCCAGATAGAAATGTATAAATATTTGCTGTGTAGATGCACTCTGAATAAGTGGACTTGTCCACAAAAGCTTGCGGTAAATGTAGCACTTAGTCTTTAAGATGCCACAACATTTTTGTCTTCTTTGTTTTTTGTTTTTCCTGATATGCTAGCACACGGCCACGTCTTCTAAAACTTATCTTTCCACAGCAAGTCATTATCACTGTATAACCTGTGAAATCAGGGCCTGAGAGAAGGGTCTGGCAGCTACATGTCTCTGTCAGACAAAGAAATCTACAATGACAATGATATCACCGATATGGCAGCTGTTGATCTCACTTTTGCAATTTCCCATTGTACTGTAGAAATAGTGTGGGGTTTGTCCAGCCACAATCCACTGCAGCTGCTCTGATTGCTCTCTCAGGAGACAGCCTGCTGACCAAATACAAAGGTGAGGGACCCTGTTCTTTTACATTTTGTCAAGCATTAGGTTGCTAACAAATAGGCCCCCTTTTTTCGTGCAGTCAGCAAGTCCAGCATTGCCAGGCTCTCATGGAAGTATACAAGATGAACTGTCTGCCCTACTGAGAATAAGAGGTGCAAAAAGAGAGAGAGAGAGAGAGATTGTTTGTCTTTTTCTGGTTTTGCAATATACTGTAGGATGGCAGATGCTGGAAAGGCCAAAAGTACTATGTAGCATTTTTGCAATATAGGATGGCAGATGCTGGAAAGGCCAAAAGTACTATGTAGCACACAGGGCAGTACATTCAAAGCAACTGAAATAGACAGTTTCTCTTTTGGAGAGTGTGTAAGCGTCTATGCACAATAATATACGGTAATCCCTAGCCATACCACTCTGATGTAGTAATTAAAGTAAATAGCCACCACACGGCCCCTGTTTGCCCACGTGCCCTCTGTCTTCCACTCACGTCCTGCCATCAAGTTTTGGCCATGCAGTAATGCCCCCCACAAAGGGTCATGATTTGGCTTTAATACAAGGTGCATGAGCTGTGAACACTTTGTTTTCAAACTCACAGCACCTCTTCAAGCCTTGATCAACTTGAAAACAAGGCACAGTGCCTTGTTTTAGAATAAACTGCAGTGGGGTTTTTTCTTTCTATGCTATCAAAATTCTGCTCATTCATGGGAAGATGCGCAGAGTGGAAACGTTGGTTCAAATCCCCATTCAGTTGTGAAACGCACTGTGATCATGGCCTGTGGACTTCCACTCAGCCTCAACCACTTTACAGATTTTTGTGTGGATAAAATGGAAGTGAGAAGAATAATATATGTCACTCCTAAGTTATTTTTTATTATTGATAAAAAAAAGAAAATTACAAATAAATTACAGAAATAAAACTAAAATAAAAACTCAGTAGTAACTACACACAATACACAATAAAAAATTTCCCACTCGTGCCAACTTCACCCTTGGGACTAGGTAACCAATAATATCAATTTGTACCACTTTTGACCCCATTCCTCTCTAAAAATACATTGATTCTTCTGCCGGCATACAGCGTTTCCCCTTCAAAAAGAC